ATACAAAAGTTGGAAGATAAGGTATGGACTATCAGCAAGAATGTCCGTACAACCTCGAACCTACTAAGGAAACTGGATCATCGATACCCTTGGACCAATACACCATCACTGCAAAAATATCATCCCCATGCCTATCAGTTGGATTTACCTACTTCTATGCGTATCCCACAATGTTTTCCATGTTCAACTACTTGAACCTTATCAAGAAAACACTATCCCTAACCGTATACAACCTCCACCACCACCAATAGAGGTTGAAGGACAAGAAGAATATGAAGTTGAAGCCATATTGGACAGCAAATATGATAAACGTCTGAAAGAACCTCGACGTTATCTAGTCAAATGGCTTGGTTATAATGAAACCACCTGGGAACCAACATCAAACCTTGAGAATGCTATGGATTTAGTCCATGAGTACAATCAGAAACATAATATCCGGCACTAAGCACGTTTAGAGTGCTCAACATTAGATCAGATTCATCCCTTTCATATCAGTCAATCAATATCAGATTACTGTTAGCTCAGTGGTTAAGATACTAATTCTTTAGTTTTTGACCCTGGGTTCAACTCCCACACTGACTGTCTGGTTGCTCGGAAGGCACTCGTCGGCTGATCGGGTCGTGTGGCGGGTTGGGCCTAAGGGGGGAGGTTTCTGGGGCTCCGTAAACACCCGGCAAGGGGTTTTTGCCGATTTGTCAAATTTTCACCCCACCTCAAGCAAAAATGGGCCTTTGACACCAGTTATTGAAGAGACGGTTCATCACTTTTCCATTCAACCCAATGCATTCACATAGTATATTCTCCCCTTTAGTTCAGATCAAACCAGAATAGCTCACTAGAGTCAATAAACTAGTCCTGTCCCTTTGCGGTCTCGTATCCTGTCTTTCGGGAGGAACATTCACCAGCGGCGGCGGTACAGTCCCATCATCGTATGTACTTGTTGGATGAACTGCTTACGCATTTCCTTATCTTGGGTTTCCCTGATCTGCTGAGCCGCATCCCACTCTTTGAGGAAGTAAAGGTGTTCCGACAGCTGCATCATAGATGGACCATAGGGAAGCTCTGAGTGGTGAGTGGACAAGCGGCGGCGAGTCACCCTTGGGGTCGGAGAGCGAGATTGGCGAGATGCTATATTGGGAGGTGGAGAGATAGGCGTATACAAGGGAGAACCGGCAATGTAGGGATTAGAAGGACCATGGGTACCAGCATAAAAGTGATCCGGCGACTGATAGTCAACAAAGATCAAGACCATCTTTCGCACAATGACTCAAGGAAGAATAAAGAAAAAAAAAAAAAAAAAGAAGGACTCACCGGCGATGGATCCCTATGATAGCGATGATGATGTTCCTCATGCTCATCTTCATACTCCTCCGACAAATTGCAAGTGATCCCAAGACGAACACAATGATAACAAGCGGTATTGCGGCCATGTTGAGTACAAACCCGACCAGGGTGGTCACGACAATTGATACATTTCTTTGCGCGAATAATACCAAAACGGCTTATCTGGTCCATTTTATTGTGACGCCAAATTGTCTGATCATCAACTACCTTATGTCTAGCAGGGAAACAACTCACAGTGGCTGATAGATGGGTGTTACCAACTTCAGGATTGACCACAGGTGTAGGCGTAGTTGATGCCACAGAAATCACTTCGACGGACGAGGTTGACGGATTACCCACAACTGAGGTGGAAGAATCTGAGGATAGGCCATTATCAAACCAAGAACTAATGTCGGAGTCGTTATCGTTGTTCATGGTAGAAGGCTGAACAATCGACGGGTTGACAGTTGGTTCGACCTACAACATCAGTCAATGATCAACATGGACAAGGTACTCACAGTGCCAAATGCATCGGCCATACGATCTGATTGACGAGAATTGTTGAGTGAGGCAAGAAGGTGATCCCAGTCAACATTAGAAAGATCGATTGTGCCGTCAAGAAAAGGGTTGGACATATTGAAGATTGGTGTTTTGTGATTGTCAACAGAAGATAGGCCGGATTGAGAATAGAGAAGTTAGCATACTGGCGGATGGTAATTTGGATTATATAACGAAAGAAAGAGTGGTACTAGCAGGACATGTTCGACTCATCGGAGTTCGCCGAGTGGAGGAGGGAATACTGTCACGACTCGGTAAAGTCGTGACCCGTGATTCAGGGATTTTCATGTTTTTCGTACGATTTCATATGAACTCACCCGAATTCATACGATTTCATATGAACTCACCCGAATTCATACGATTTCACACGAACTCACCCGAATTCATATGATTTCACACGAACTCACCCGAATTCATATGATTTCACACGAATTCACCTGAATTCATATGAAATGACCACGATTTCATACGAAATGACCACGAATTCACATGAATTCATACGAAGTCACCCGAAATCATATGAATGATTTGCGCATCAGAAGTCCCTTGGAAAAGGATATAAGGAGGACATTTCTAGCTTGTAGTTTCTTCTTCTCAAGGATCAAAATATTATTTGCCACTCACAAAAGACCTCATCTTGACATACTACTTACATCTGACACATCCCTCACCATCATTACCCCTGTCCACACCATCACATACACCCTTATTGTCATCTCGACCTGCCCGGATCCTTCGCAAGTCACTTAGTCGTCCGACCATATCACAAGTCTACGGACAACATACTAACCGTCGTTGTCCAAGCTAACTAAACAGTCGCAGTCCACCTGTCTTTGATTCCTCGAGGTCTGTCAAGGACAGGACCGTGACACTATGGGTCAGCATGGATCAGTACGGATCACCCTGGGTCAAACTGACACCACCTTGGGTCAGGCTGGCGTCACTACGGATCAGGCTGGGTCAGCACGGATCAGCATGGGACGGGACCATTCAGGCTGGCGTCAGGATGACGCCGCCCGGAGAGGTGGCACTACACCGGGGGGACCAAATGATGGATATATAAGGAGCACATTTTGTCTTGATCCTCTTCAAGGATCAATCTATCATAAGTTACATTTAGTTACAATAGTCTTCTATAGGCCTTCCATAGTCTTGACATACATCTTCGGTCTACTTCGCTTCGCTCGCCGACACTTCGGGATCCTTTGAGCATACCTTCGGTCACATCGTCTTTTCGACCACATCCCTTCGATCTTCAATCTCATCCCTCGATCTTTGATCACATTCTTCGATCTTCAACATCACACCTCAATCCCTTCGATCTTCAACATCTCAATCTTCGACCACACAAGTCTAGTGGTTGTGCAACTTCGCCTCCGCACAACCCGAGCTCGCCGATTACGACTTCCGCCGTCTACTCGTCGCTGGCCCAAGGCCTGCCAGGTTCGAGTCGTAACAGCTATTGGATACTGTCTATCATGGACTGAGTCTGATATTGAATGGGTGAGCGTTGACAGATATGTGTGTGAACTACCAGGAATGTGTGGCTGATGAACAGAGTGATGAAGATGGTGAAAGCTTCTCGGAACACATACCTTCCAACAGTGATCGCAAGCTACCTTCCGAGGACGATTGCAAGCTCACCAAGCCAAATCTCGAAAGCCATCCAATTCCCCGTACTGCCAGAGTACGTCCTGTGGGAGTTCAGCTCGCTTTGGGTGCAAATTCAGAGCGGGCTGTTCAGACGGATGGAAACCGAGCAAGGCTTGAAGGGTGGAAACAGATAGAAATTCCAGAGGGGATTCTGCCGGCTTCCAAGGGAAACTCAGGACCGGCTACTGAAGAGTATCAGACTGGAAGGGGAGACCAAGAACCTAAGTCCCATGAAGGAGAGACGGTCAACTCTGGAAAGAAACGTAGGAAAGGGAAGCGAAGGGGGAAGGAGTCAAAGAAGAAACATCAAAATAAGCAGAAACGCAGACAGGCTAAAGCGGGACACCTCGGTATGTGCCGGTCATTGATATCCCTACCAGAGTTTTATGCTGACTGCAAGTCCAAATCTATGCTGTTACTCCAACAAAGATTCAAACCCATGGGATATGATAATTTACGTGAATCCAATCAACAAAATGTGCTTGACTACATGGCAGAAACTGCAGACATGTTATTTGGCCAATACCCACTATCAATCCCACCTTGCTCCTTCGCCATCCCATGTCTACGCTTTGGTCAAGTCACAGAACATGTTCCTCAATACTGAATGATACATGTACCCATCTTCTTCAGTGAGAATGATCAGAGGATCATCTGGCATGCCTCCACCTAGACAATCCTACTGCGCTCTTTCTAGATCTGAAGTCAGATCGCGATTTCGTTCAACGGTTATCCCAGGAGATCAAAAACATCAAAACAAAAATTTGCAAAAATTGCGCATCCTTCACTTCCACTTCCACTTTTCCTCTTTCACCTTCGTTTCTCTTATTCCTCAAATCCACGCTTTGCGACAAGCCTCTGGTATCGACGCTCTCGGCTGGGAGTGAAGGCAAGTCCTGCAGAAGCGCAGGTGAAGACAAAATCCCTTCCACACTTTTTGCTTTTTCCACTCATTACTGTCGGAAATAGAGCAATCGGTAACTGCCACATTCAAGCGCTATCGCTATTGCCGCGTATTCCCTCGTCTCATCTCTCACCTCTGTCAATATTGTACTCTTCATGCATTCTACTTCTACATCTGACAATTTCTGCGTATTTCCTTGTCTCATATGTGTGACCTCTGTCAATATTGTACTCTTTATGTATTCTACTTCTACATCTGACAGGTTATGAGCCTGGGATATCGCTCTTAAGACGACATCTAAGTGCTCCCGACACCCCCTGTGGTCCCTCCAGCATTAGAATCAGTAGAACTATCAGTAGAATCATCAACCCACTTCAAAATTTTCGCTTTTTGCTTCAAATTGAGTTCCTTCGCTTTCGCTGGAAATCATGTTTCTCACTCTCACCCTTGTCAGGAATGGATAAAGTAGAATGCATAAAGAGTACAACATGACAGAGGTCAGATATGAGACGAGGAAATACGCAGAAATAGTCAGATGGCGAAGTTGAATGCATGAAGAGTACGATATTTACAGAGGTGAGAGATGAGACGAGGGAATACGCGGCAATAGCGATAGCGCTTGAATGTGGCAG